CGTTCTCCCAGAGCCCCAAGCATGGTATGGCTGTCGTGCTTCCGTGGCTGCTGATTCTCAGCCTGGAAAGGGCGCGGTGTTGCTGTAGTCTGGGATGTGCATCACCACTGGGAAACCTGCTCTAAATATAGTGAAGCTACAGTCATCTTACTTCACAGTTTTGAGTCTCTGACCTAGATACAAGGGCTATTTTGTTACCACACATTTCCGGCTGATTCTGTGGGCAAAAGACGATCTTACCGGCTGTCTACAAATTCCGGCTAACGAGGCACACACACCCCTTCACCGTCAACACAGCACTGCCCGTGCTGTTCAGCTCCCCTTTTACATCATGTAGTTTTCTTAAAGTTTTTTTTAAAAGTCAAATTAAGCCCTACACCCACAGACTCTTGTGTTTCCCGCCACCCACAGCCCTTCTGCAACTTGATCCAAAACAGTGACTAACTTTTTAACTTCAATACTGCTTCTGCCTCTGCTGCTTTCATCTTTCCTTCCTACCAGCAAATGAAGTCTTTTCAGTGCAGAGAAAAGAATGCCTGCAATGCCACTTCTGTGTCCCCTCACTGTCACTTTGCACACTCCAAAAACCGTGGTGTGGAGCAGGGCCCAGCCAGCAGAGCTGTGACTGTGACCTGTCCCTGCAATTCTCTGAACATCAGAAACACACCTAATACACATCCTGGGCTGGAAATTTAAAGTGTCATATCTTGGGGCTTTCAAATACCCATTTTGACCACTGATTTTAATCTGCACTTTTAACTAATCAGATTTGAAGTGGCACGGGCTATTTATTTATTTAGGCTATATCTCAGCAACTTGCAATGTGCTGTGCCTGACACAACAAGAGTGCAGCATCAGCAGACAGCCTGCTCGCTGTCCTGAGTCTCTCTGGCACAATGCTTCATGGCATCCTGGCCACTATTAGGAACAGTATGGCCAGCAGGACCAGGGAAGTGATTCTTCCCCTGTATTCCGCACTGGTAAGGCCACACCTTGAGTTCTGGGCGCAGTTCTGGGCCCCTTGATTCGGGAGGGACATTGAGGTGCTAGAGCAAGTCTAGAGAATGGGAACAGAACTGGAAAAGTAACTGGAGCACAAGTCGGATGAGGAGTGGCTGAGGGAGCCGAGGGTCTCAGCCTGGAGTAAAGGAGGCTTGGGGTGACCTCATTGCCCTCTACAACTCCCCACAGCAGGAGCGTGTAGCCAGGTGAGGGCTGGTCTCTCCCAGGCAACAGCAGCAGGACAAGAGGGCATGGCCTCGAGCTACACAGGGGACACTTAGGTTGGACATCAGAAGAAATTTCTGCATAGAAAGTGTGGTTAGATACTTGAATGGGCTGCCTAGGGAGGCGGTGGAGGTACTGTTCCAGGAGGTGTTTAAGGAAAGTCTGGATGTGGCACTTTTAGCTCTGGTTTAGTTGACAAGGCCGTGTTCAGTCATAGTTTGGACTCGATGATCTCGGAGATCTTTTCCAACCTAACTGATTCTGTGGGATTTGCTCACAGAACTTCCTCGACAAATACTCCTTTCTACCGCAGGCCTCTTTCGCACGTTCTCTCGCAGAACAGCGCAGTGCCCAGCGGGGCCCCTGGGCGGGCACGGCCGCCTCCCCGCGGGCAGGCAGGCGCGGAGCTCCAATGGCGCGTTGTGCTGCCGGGCACGGCCCCTCGCCGTGACTCCCCGCTGCCGGCACGCCGCGCTGGCGCCGGGCCCGCACGGAGCGGTGCCGGGGAGGGCGGCGCTGCCCCGCGGCCGAGCGGGCGGTGAGATGGCGGCGGTGCTGTGTCGCGGAGTGGCCGGTAACGCGGGGCGGGAGCTCGGGCCGGTAACGCGGGGCGGTAACGCGGGGCGGCGGCGAGCAGGCCGGAGAGAAGGGAACGCGGGAGGCGGCGGGGCCGGCACGGGGCGGCCGCGGGTCTCGGTGCCTGCCCCGGTCTGGCGGATGTCCCCGTGAGACTCGCAGGCCGAAGAAAACTATCGCTTGTGTAAATAAAAGCAAGTTCTCCGATCCGACTGACGGGCACATTAACAACTGGCATTAGCTGACATAGGGTAAACTTAGAGAGCAAACTCCAAACTTAAGGCGCAAGGAAGAGCTTGTCTTTTTTGAGACGTGCTTTGGAGGTCAAATTCAAAATAATTGCCCGTTCATGATAACAACCTGTACTGCTCACTGTGGTAGGGTAGGTTAAACTCACAATACCTAAACCACACCATTTTATTTGGTAGCCACAGACCAGGAGAAAAGCGAATGAGAGGCTCAATGCTGTCAGTGATCGATTGGTAGGGTACTGGGAATGAAAACACCTGTGTATGACTGTACTTTGATGGAGGGAGCCAGAGCTGAAGCACACGGAGATTGAGTTTCCATGAGCTATGGAGCCCATCTGATTCCCAAAAGCCCCGTCCAGCACAGAGCAGAGCAGCACTGTGAGCCCAGTTGGCTTCCAGAGTTCCCAAGATGTTCACATCAACTTGAAATTTCTGGAATTTAAGAATGACCACACTAGGCCCTTTCTCCATTTGGTCCAGAGAGACAGCACACAGCCCCTCTGTTCCAGATTGCCTATGGTAACAGCATCTTCTCCATGCTTTGGGAGTTTGTCTCCACCTGAAATGAGTGACAATGGAGCAGTGCCCAGTGACAAGGTTCTTACTGCAGCCCACTGTTGTAAAACCTTCCCATAGAGAACATGACTGAGTCAGTTGGAACTTGGCTTGTCTTTGATTCCTTAGTTTCCTTGACTGAGTCAATGAACACTGCTCCACATCAGAAGCAACAAACAAGCCTATGAATAAACATTAGAAGGGTGAGGATCTCAGTTTATGGGGCACTTCAGACTTGTTACTTCATAATCTGCTCAGTTAAAGAACGTAACCCTTACTTGGTACAACTGTGTATTTAAACTGATGTGCATACTACGTAGATCAGTCAACCATCAATAGAATGACCCCCAAACAGATACATTTTAAAATATTCTTCAAATGAAGCTTAAGAAGGTTATATACCATAGAACTAGTTTTGCAATGTATAAATAAGTATTAGTGTTTCTTTCCTGGAAATATGGAAGTGATGGGGTTTCAGTCTGAACTTTGCTGAAAACCTTTCTTTTTCACTGCAGGGCCATTTTTTGATTATTGGGTTAGAAGAAGATTAGAATTTTAAGTAATCTATATAGTTACTAATCTAGGTAAGACAAGAAAAACACAAATGCTTTTTGTTTAATCTCAGTCAATTCAATAATGGATTTAAAATTAATACTCTATATGCATCTGACTAGAGCTAGGATAAATTCACAAGACTTCATAGAATAAATGCTTATATGAGTGAGCATTTAAGTATCTTTGACTTTACAAGAATCCTAGGAATATACTTCACTTTTTCAGTCTATTGCCTTCCCAGGAAACACCACAAGAAATCAACCATTTCTGGGCAGAACCCAGAAGAAAGAGCATTTTCTATTATTTTCTCTAGTGTTTCACAAATAGCTGAGTAACAAACAGTCTGTGTCTTTGTCAATTTATTTGAAATAGAAAAAATACTAATTAAATTACAATAAATATGTAGTTATATGCCCTGTGTGAAGTGCAGCAAGAATTTTAGATGTCAGATGTAAAAGAATGGGAAAATCCTTGCCTTTCCATTAGTAAAGACTGCTTGAAAAAAAGATCTACATTAGTAGTATTTCTATTGAACTGCAGTCTGTTAATATTTGTAAGAAATAATAAAACTGTAAAAGGCTCTGGAAAACATAATAAATTACATAGTAAGGGATCCTTCTCTTTCAAAGGACTTTTTTATTTCTAGAATACTGCCTTCCTCCAAGTGGAAAAATCTCTCTTGCTTCAGCAAGAGTTGAATAATGTCTTAAGAAATTACAGTACAAAATGGAGCAACTTAAGTAGAAGCTTAGGTGGGCTGGAAAGACTGTATAGCAGATGTCGGGAGGGTTGTTACTTTTTGCAACACATTTATTTACTCTGCTTAACTGTAAATCCCTATACTAGTTAATTCTCCAAGCCTTTAATCATGTCATCTAGTTCCTGCATGTTTGTACCTCCTACATTTTCGGCATTGCACAGTACTGCTACCTCACTTGGTTCACCCTGATTCAGCTGCATTGACATGCCAAGTGTTTCCACAAAAGAGTTTCTGCACAGACATTTGAGAAACAAGAATTTTTCTTCGTGTGAAAGTTTCTAGGGGATTTTTTTTACAATGTAAAAAGTTGAAAGCAGTTGCTATCCTTTACCAGTATGATATCCTAAAGGTAACAAGTGAAAGAATTGTCCAGAACTTCTGGCTGTGATGAAGGAGATGACAGGATGGACTGTGTGAGAGCCTGGCAAGAAATACTGCAGGGCAGTTACTTGCAGCACTGGACAAGTTTCTGGAAATACTTAATGTAGGATGTTGATTTAGTATCATCAAAAGACTGTGAATAGACTTACTTTTGTGATACTAAGTCCTTGCTCATATGCACATTGTATGTTATAATTTTAAGTGTCAAATACATGCAAACATTTCTTCCTCCATCACAGCACCATGCTGAGAAAGGCTTAGGTTTAAGGATTTATCACTTATCTTTTTGAAGAAAAATTAGCTGGTAGCTGTAGAATCTTGAATTCCTGTGGAATTGTCGTTCTTAGTTACATACAGTGAAGCAAAGCTGATTTAATTAATTACAGCTATTACTGACCTTTCAGAGTACCAAGAGCCCAGCCAGGCTATCTGTCCTCAGTGTGATTCAAAGCGCCCAGAATCTCAGTGTGCATCATCGGCACAATCTCTTAGCAAAATAGCACATTTGTGACTTTAAAGCAAAGAATGCCTCAAAGACTCCCAAAATGCTGATACCTCTAGCTCCCTTAAGGCAACGGGAGCTCTGACTTGGCCTAAAGCAAACTGGCATGGAATTAAAATGTGGCTTTTATGAATATATCCTTTATTCTCATTTTGGTTCCAGAAACAACTGATACTATCACAATTTCTCCCCACCCCCAACACCTCTAGATTCTAGTACTGACAGATTAATTTTTAATGTAATTAATTTGTAAGTACCCCCATTTTATATCTTTCTTTTTATTTGTGATCTTTTTGTTTGTTTGCTCTAATTTTGAGATGTATAGGCATATCCTTATTTATTTCTCTATTTTGTAAGAAGCTCTGAAAATTTCAGAAGTCACTTTTAAATGCATTATACATTTGACCTTTACAATTGGTCGTTTTCCTCTTTTCAACAGGCATATGTAAGGATTTACACAAAATTTGAGTCTGCTTTGGGTTTTTTGTTTTTTATTTTTAATACTTTTGAATATTTACTTAGTCAGAATTGTTTCCTTGCTCTCAGTCTACCCTGAGCATTGCTCAAGGATGTGCCAGTGACTTGGCACTCTGCAGGCCTTTATAGGGGAAAGAGCAGGCACTGAGAGTTTCTTAAAAGCATTGTGTCAGTGCTATTCACTTTTTTCTTCAGGGCTTCTTAGCAGATTGCAGACTTCAGCTCCCACAGTACGAACTCTATCATCGTCAAAGTCTTCCTCACAAAACATTCCAAGCTGTTTGTGGAAACTGGGCCGACTTAATCATGTGGCAATTGCAGTGCCTGATTTGGAGAAAGCTCAGTCCTTCTATAAAAATGTGTTAGGAGCCCAGGTGAGTGAGACTGTTGCTCTTCCTGAACATGGTGTCTACACTGTTTTTGTGGAGCTGGGAAATACCAAGCTGGAACTTCTACATCCTTTAGGAGAGAAAAGTCCCATTGCAAGCTTCCTGCAAAAAAACAAGACTGGAGGAATGCATCATATCTGCATTGAGGTATTTTAACATAATATTTATTGTAATAAGACAGATACATTCAAGTATGCATATTTTAATAGTTTTGACCTGTATCAAGAACTAACATATATGGCTAACATATTTCTTCTCTCTTATACTAAAGAAAATTTAGACAGATGTTTTGATAGGCAAGTTGTTTCAGAAAAGCTAAGTATTTTAAGAAGAAATTAAATTATTCCTGACCAGTCACAATTAAACACCTGCAGTGAAAATCATGCTGGACACAGTAGAGCAATCCAAGCCTGGTACTATCCTAATATGGATGCACTCAAAGGCTTTCCACTGTTGACTGTCACTCAGCCTTGGGGATGCAGGAATTCATTCCAGCTGAGCCCAGCCTGGGTTCCTCTTCAGGCCATCTCTGCAGGACAGGAGCAGCAGCTGCTGTGAATTTTCTGCTCAGGGCAAGAATCTGGAGGGGGCCATGGCACATGTGGCCTTTCTAGTTTAGATAATTTGACAGTCATTCATTTTTGTTTTGTAGACTGGTAGTTGTGTGTAGGAAGAACTGTAGTGAGTTTGGAATATTCATGAACAGAACTGCTGCAGATGGGTAAGAATTAGATGATGCCTGCTACACTGAATTAAAGCTAGGAATTTCCTTCTTCCCTACAATGGCTTTGGGAGAGTTCATTCACCAAATTATGTCCAGACACCTCAGTCTTGAAAATTGGCATTGATGCTATTTTCATTCTAGGTCTGTATTGATTACTGACTGTTGAATTTTCTAAACAGAGTATTAATATTATTATTTCAAAAAATTAATACATTTAAGTTATAGGAAAATTCAAATTTAATTGGATGACGTGACATCAGAACTTCAGATCACAGCATAGAGTATAAGCATGTTTTTGTTAATTACATATTTCTGTAGGAAACTGTACTGAAATACTGTATTAATGGCTATTATTATAGTTAAGTTCAATGGGAAAACCATGTCTGATATATTTTTGATTATTCCAAGCTTTTTTCCTTAGGAAGCTGTATGAACCTTAACCTAATCAGAAGGACAGTATATCAATCTAAAAGGGACTTTTAGCTTGTGCCCAGTGCCCTCCCTTTTCACCAGCATTTAATGAGTCAGTGTTCTGTCATCACTTATAAGGGGAGGGGGTTTTTTAATTTATTAAGAGCTAGAAAGCAATATACTCTTCCTAGTAAAAGTAATGCAGAATTTAGATCATTTATGGAGTCCTTATAAAGTAACACCAAAAATAATCAATGAGCTTTGTGCATGAGTGATTTTTGGTTTATTAATTTCTTAAATATTGCACAATTTGTTTAAATAGTATTATATAAAGTCTTCAAATAACAAATGCAAACTTCTGTAGTATTTTTATTTTTAAGATTAGATGTTTTAAATGCTCCTAAATGTAAAATCTGCATAATGCAGTGCAATGTGTTAATTTGTGTTTTATTAGGTTGATGACATAAAAGCTGCTATGACAGAACTGAAGAAAAAAAAGATACGAATATTGAGTGAAGAACCAAAAATAGGTGCACATGGGAAACCTGTGATTTTTCTTCACCCTAAAGATTGCCATGGAGTCCTTGTGGAACTTGAGCGAGCTTGAGCTGCAATATTCATAAATAAAACAATAGAAGAGTTGTGAAGTTCCTGAGTTGGTGCTGGGAATATTGATGTGGTATTCAGTCTTTACAAGTTCATTGTAGTTCCCACGGATGAAGTACAGCTTTTAAGTACTGAAATAGTGCTACAGATTTAGGGTCTTTCTTTGTTGTTGTTGCTGATTTGATTTTCAGAATTAATGTGCTGGCATTTCTTGAATTCTCTAAACACAAATACATCAACTAAGTTACATATGTACCACAGTAATTTATCTTTTGCAGCATGATTTTACCTCTGTAGCCACAGAAACTGTACAGTTTCTAGGTCAAGCTGCATTATTTTGTTCTACATTTCAGAGCAGAGACCCACTTCTCAGTGACAACAATATAGCTTAGACATTTCCTTTAGAAATAAAGGAAAACAAACACTGTGTTTTCTCTTTTCACCATTCATCATCCGTGCATCACAGTGATTGGTTCATGCAATAAAAAATCTATATATTGTTTTATGGGTGTCTGCAATCAGTAAGTAACTTTTTCTTGGCATAACCATTGCTGTCAAGGAAGTTACAATGCATAAATCATCATTTTGTTGTTTTATGAACTTTGTGGATATGTAGGCAATGCAAGAAGAAAACCTGGAAATTATTTGCCTGGCAGACTGTAATGCACTTGTGACATTTTTTCATTTTTAGGGTTTTTGAAATCTTTTTTCCCAAGTTTTCTCCATAGAAGGACATCTTGCAGAGATGAACAAGCAGTGTTTAACCTTTCACCTTTGCAGAAGCACTTTACAAAATCAGTGGCAAACACACACCATGGACATCTTGCTTCTGTACATGGTTTGAACATTAATGACCACGCCAGCTGCTGATGTCACAGGCTGCAGGCACAGACTTGTTCACTCTCTTGGTGTCTATTACCCAAGCAGTCTTTCCCTGATACTTTTGTTTATAGGTTTCTTTTGACATTTCAGCTGTAAAAATAGAAGACTTGCTATTTCTTAATTTTCTCAAGCCTTAAAAAGTCATACTTTCCAAGCTTAACTACAATCTGAATTTTAGGTTTTCCTACATCTCTGCATTTACAGTAAGAACCTTCAGCTTGATACAAAGATCATTTTAGTCTAGGCAACTTTTTAACTTAATGGAATTATTTGCAATATGTGTCATGTTTGAAACAACAAAATACAAATATAATGTTGACCTGAGATTTAAACATATTTTTAAAGACATTGACACTTCCTCATGAATTTTACTTCTGAAAAAATCTCTACAAAGCCATGGTTTTTTTTTTAACAAGATAGTTTTATACTCAAAATAAATACTCCTTCTGTCATATTTTAAGAAAAACAGCCTTCCACAGGGTTTCTACATTTCATCAAATCATTGTTTAGAGGGTATTTTGTGATCTAAATTCCAAATTGTTTAAACTTAGAAATCCTAAGGCTTATGATGGAAGCACAGAATGATTTGATATTCCTGAAATATGATTCAGCCATTCTAGGAGACATTCTATGAGCAAAGCTGCTTTTGTCTTTTCTTTCTGTCAAAGACAAGGAGATACCTTTTCTGCAAAACCAGTATAGGAATGCCAGTACTAAAAGCCTCACTGGTTAAGATAATTGAACAGAAGTCTGTAAATCAAAAACCCTCAGTTTGGTGCGACAGAAACAGCCCTCCCATGGTTCATTCTCCATTTCTTTGTCCTGTCTGAAGGAGATGGACTTTTGTGTATTACATTTGTCACTACACCCAGAGTAGTAGCTTGAGGCAGTGCTAGAGAGCAGAGATTTTTAAGTAAGCAAGATTTGCTCCTCCTGTTGATTGTGCTCCCTATCTTACTGGCAGAAAGAGGCTTGTAATATTTTTTATCTAGTAACCAGCAATTTTTCTGACTGACTGATGTGGGGTTGCCCAGCTCTAAGTCAGCTGATGCATTTTCTTCCTCATATCTAAGTCATGCTCCTATCTCACTCACAGTTTATACCTTTCTTCTGACTACTTCTAAGGTGGAAGTCAAGAAAATGACAACACACACACATACAACCCCAGCCCTACAAAAGAGAGTTTGGGTCTGCAAATTAGTACCCAAAACTGGATCATGTTCTTACAAGCTCTTACAATTTGATGGGATCAGACCCCCTTACTTGTCTGGGTATGTGCTACAGGACTGGAGAATTTCCCCTCTGGAGCTATAGACTTTGAGAATAGCCAAGGGAGCTAGACAGCTACAGGATCTGCAGACAGCTACAACTGAGAGAAGTTTCCTGTTCATAAGCTTAACTCCCTTGGACTTCAGTGGGAACAGAATCAGCCCCTATAAACTATGTAGTCCTTCACCTTAAGGCAGGTAGCCTTCACAAGTTGTTGTTCTGACTTGCAAGTGGTTGGGACAGGGGTTACATACATGGGCCTTACTCTTTGTCACTGATTATTATAAGAGGGGAATAGTATCAAAACAGTGGAAATTCAGGGATGGAAACTGGGGAAAGAGAGAACTGTCATTTGCTCTTTTCAGTGGAGGGACATTTAACAATACACCCCAGTTGCACCATTATACAACTTCTGAGAACAACAGTGATTCAAATAATTGTAGCCTGAATATTTTGGAAGGGAATTAGGCTTTGACAGTGTTTCTTCTTCTTTGGTTTTTATCTGTTTGTTGGCTTTTTTAAAACAGCAAAACCTTCTTCTCTGGTAATGTCAAGCTTCTCAGAAGACAGAGTGTTAATATTTTGCCAGTAAATTTTCTCACGCTTGTGCCATTTGTCAAGTGCGAGTTCCCTGTTCCAATCTCTCCGTGTGCCTTTTTTCCCCTCAGAGCTGAAGTATGTTCCCATTTCATGCTGCCTAAGGCAGACAAGACACATTTTTCAGGACTCCATCAACATTACTCAGGCAGCTAAAGAGCTCATAATTAAATGATGCAAAATATCTTTTTTTACTTCCTCTCTGCAACCCTCAAGTCACTCCTAAGTGGGAGGAGGTGAACAGGCTGCAGAATGAATCCCATTCCTTATGATGAGACAAACTTAGAAGCAAACTTAAAAGCTGAGAAAATAACTAACTGCATGCTTTTTAAAAGCTAACCTTACAGTTTTGCAGTTCTGCAAAAACACTGTTCATGTAATGCTTATTCTGCAATTAATGCACCCGAATTTCATTCTGAATTCTGATGCTTTCATTATTACCATATCAAGCTGTAGTCTCATAGAAAGACCATGAAACATGGAGATGTTTACATTATCTGGTTGAGCAACTTGCACTGGGAGCTTTGAATGATATCCTTGGCACTTCATTTGATTCTGTGCTTACAAGGAATTCTTCCTGTGTGACATGTGTTTGTTGGACATAAAAACCCTTAATTAAGAGGAAAACTCTGAATTATTTCAATACTCAGTTCTTTTACCAAAGCAGTTGCCATATTGGCCAAATTATGAGGCTGTCAAACAGAGTAAGATCATCAAGTTCAAATAATTAATTTATATGGAAATGGAAATTAACAACAGTGTATAATCAACCTAGGGATGACATTTTTCAATGGAAGACCTCAACCACTTAGGTATGCAAAATCTGTCACCATTGATAAGCATTTTCAAAGTACTTTGAACAAATTATGAAATAAATATTTATCTTATTGTGAAGGAGGGATGTTTGTATCCTGTATAATCCTTAAATATCCATAAAATTATGTCAACTGTCAATTGTAATGTTCATTTACAGTCTTGTATATTGTTAAAAAGCATTGCTAACTGCAAAGTTCATAGCATAGTGTCTTGGTTTTGAAAAGACAGGTGTTTGCTAAGGAAGGAGGAGCTTCTCTTGAAATGGAAAATGCAAATCCCCTCCCTCCACATTACTGTAAAGTTGAAATTAAGGGACTCTCAGGCAAAAATATGAGAATAGGAATAACAGTTCTTTACTAGGACAGCTTTTCATTTTTGCTATAGTGAGAAAGATGAGCTAGTATCTAAATAAATCTAAATTTGCATAAATTATGAGCAAGGCCTGTCATAATTGCCCTAAAATATGTGTTTCTTTATATACAAAGTACTCACTATCACCTAGCTGCCCTAGAAAGATCTAGAGGTTTCTAATAAAAGGCCTGAGGAACCAACTGTGTTTATCATTCACCATAAGAAATGTTCTTGGAGAAACCCTCTTCAGTGAGCTTTTAAATAGTACACATTGAATCCTACATTTTTAAACTTCAGGGGTGGATCTGTGTATTATTTGCACAAGGGCACAATAATCATAATTTGTTCTGATAAATCTGCCCATATGGGATGTGACTGAGTCCAGTGCTGTCTCCTGCTGTAATGTTCAAACTTTTGGTGTTTGGGTTTTTGTTGCACTGGGGTACCTCAAGCAGCAGGGAAAGGTGAGGCCATACCTAACAGGATTACATGGCATTCAGGAGCGTAATTCACAGAGAGCTGCTGTGGAGACTCACTGAAAACACCCTCAGCTTCGGCCCAGCGCCAGAGCAGGTCCCTGGGGATACGGAGCGGCCTTGCCGAGTGTCCCTGCGGGATGCGGGCGGCCACCAAACCTGGCTGTGGGCAGCTGCTGCCCCGGGGGCTCGGGAGGGGAGCGGGGCCCGGGGGCTGCGGCCTGCTCACCTCAGTGCCCGCGTCTGGACACAGTCACGGAATCACAGAACTCTTCGGGCTGGGCGGCAGGGTCACCTGCAGCAGGTGACACGGGAGCGCGCCCAGGTGGGTTCGGAATGTCTTCAGAGAGGGAGACGCCACACCCACCCTCCCTGGGCAGCTCTTCCAGTGGTCTGCCACCCTCAGTGTGAAGTTCTCCCTCATGCTGAGGTGAAACTTGTGTTTCAGTTTATGGCCACTGCTCCTCGTCCTGCCGCTGGACACCGCTGACGAGCGTGGCACACGCGGAGCTGGCGCGGTGCCCGGCGCCCGGTGTGCAGGTGGATCGCGGACAGGTGAGCGCGTCCGCCGAGCCCCCCGGGCTGCGCGGGGCCCGCGGCCGCCCCCCCGCTCCCCCCGGGGCCGTGAGGCGGCGCGGGCGCTATGCGCCATGCAGGTTCCTGGGCGCTGGCGCAGGCAGGTTCCCGGGCGGGCCCGCCGCGGTGTGCGGCGCTCAGCAGCCACACAAAAGAGCGGCTGCGGCTGCCCCTCTGCCCGGCACCGGCCCCGCCGCTGCACCGCGGTAAGGACGGGGGGCGCAGGGCGGGGGGCTGACACACCGACCACCGACCGACCTACCGACCGCCGGCCGGGGTCGTCGCGGGCGTCGACGGCTCCGTCGGGGGTGGGGCGGCAGCATCCCGCGGGTTCCCTCAGGGGAGCGGGGAGCCCCCGGGCGCGCCCCCGCCCCGCGCCAGCACGGACGGTGCTCCCCTCGAATCGGGGCTGGGGGCTTCTCTCCCCTCGAGCGGCTGCCTCCGCCTCATCCCATCTTCATCCCCATCCCCTGGCAACCGAGCTGCCCGCAAGCGGACAGGAGCCGAGGTGAAGGGGAGCCCCTGCGGCATGGCGGAGCGGCCGGCGCTGTGGCGATCGGCGGCGCGGGGCTCCGGCACCGGGGGCTGCCGCACGCCCGCTTGTCCCCACCGTGCCCGGGGAGGCGCCGCCACCGCGCCCCGCCAGGCTCGGGAGAACCGGCGGCGATCCCCCGGGCCAGGCTGCGGCTCTGCTCCGCTCCCCCGGGGCTGGGCTGCGGCTCGCTCGGCTCCCCCGGGACGCTGCGAGCTCCGAGCCGGCCCGGCCGCCTCAGCCCCGCCGTGCCGGGACGGCGGCTCCGGGTAACGCGGGCACCGGCCGGGCAGCATCCGCATCATGTCAGCGTTTTGAGGGAGGGCGGGAGGCTTAAGTCCGTTTGTCTTAATAAGAGTGAAAAGAAATGCGAGAGGAGCTCTCCTGTAATGCAGCACCGTTCGGAGTTTATATTTGGTTCTGATTTCATGCCTCCACTGTAGCAAAGGGATCAGAACCTTTTATCCGCTCTTTTCCCGTTCGCTTCATCATGAGGTGTGGAGGGAAAAGGGTGCTCTATTAAGAATACCTGATTTTTGTTGGGATAAACAGCATGAGATATTATAGCATGGTCTGTTTGCCTCTTATTGAACAGTTTTTTGAATATGTGTGTGTGTGGTGCCTTGTATTGCCATAACAAAAGGGATGGGGGTGGGGGAAAGGAAGGGAATACTGCATTTAGAGCTGCATCTTGGAAAGTCAAAGACTGCCTTATTTTGCCTCAACTGGCATTCCGTGCTTTCAGATTTATGTACTTTGCATCCTCAGTGTCTTTTGGTGGTTGTTGTATGTTAGTGACAACATACTAACATAAGAAAAGAAATTTAAATAAAGACAGGGATCATACAATGTGCATAGTACAGAGATAATGTGCACTGCAGTGATGTTTAAGAAAAGTCTGAAATTACTGTGACCAGTTTGAAAAATGCAAGTGGTGTTTTCAGTTTCATTACCTGGCCAAGGCCACCCTATAATCTCCCAGGAGGGGCTGGGAAATCTGTTTGCAGAAAAGGTATTTCTCTATTATGCTTGTTATCCAAGAATCCCTAATTACTTAATGAGTACAACGGAAAAAGAGGAACAACTACTGTCATAGTTTTTTGTGGTTCTGTGTAAGCCACAGTGTTTCCAATATAGCATGGTTTTAAAGGGGAGGAATTCTAGTTTAAATCCTTATTGCCACTTAACGTAAAATACAGTGTGTGCAGGTTATGTGTTTGAGAAGCAGAAGATGGACATTTGTGTTAAAGCATAAGATGGGAATTTATAATTGTATCCTATTAGTTCTTCTCCATATGGGACAGACAAGGTGAAAGAGCTTTTCTTTCATCTCTTTTGTGAGAACTAAACTGCTAAAGTCGAAGCCACTGTCCTTAGTCCACTTTGGGCTCATAGGATTTCATACTGCAGAACTGTCCTTATAAACCCTGATTGTCAGAGTTTCTAAATTCTCTGATAGCTTAGCCCTTATCTGCACTTGGAAATATCTGAAGCTATTTTTAAAAATGCATCAGCAGCTATATTATTGCTCCCTCTTGATCCTCTGATAGTATGGCCTCTTGCAAAGGCCATAGATGCTCAGCTCTTTTGGTCAAAGTATTAAAGTTCTAAGGAGGAATCTCAAAAATCATGTTTTGTGCAATTACTTGATTAATGCAGTTCAGGCTGGGGACTGGACATGAATTTAAACAAGTTAGGTGTTTAAAAAGTGACCTTTGCTTAAGGCTGTGAACACAAGAAACCACTTCAAGAAGCATAATTTTTCCATCTCTCCAGCTATTCTGACAAGAATATTTGCTAAGAAATACTTTGTGAAAATAACACGGTTTAAACATCTTTCAGTTAATATCCCTGTGCTGAGGGTGGAGAAATTAGAGAAAGTGACCTGTTCCAAGCTACCAGCTCCCAGAGAGACATATGGAGGATTCTGGTTTTGTTCAGAACAAATCTTGGTTGTAGCCTTTGAACACATCAGGGTTTAGGTGCTTCTGCAGACTTTTTATATCCATTTCCCTTGTAATCTGTGTTTAAATAAACAAGGCAATTATTTAATGCTTTAAGCATTGCAGTGGTAGAGGCTGAGGAGCAGCCCTGCCAAAAAAGGCCCAGAGGTCCTGGTGAACAGCAAACTGGACAGAAACCAGCCACATCTCCTGGCAAGAAAGACAGCCAGGAGCATCCTGGTCTGGGTGAACAACAGTGCAGCCAGGACATCAAGGGAAGTGATTATTCCCTTCTGCTCAGCACCCAGTAGGTCACATTTATAACCCTGAGTCCAGTTTTGGTCCCCCCAGTCAAAGGAAATTATTAAAGACTTGAGGTTCTGCAGAGGCCACTGAAGTGGTTGGCTGAGCTCTGAGCAGAGGGTGAGGGAGTGGGGCTTGCTCAGCCTGCAGAAATGGAGGCTATGGGGAGCTCTACCAGCAGCCTTCCAGTCCTTAGAAAGAGATCCTCAGGGAACTGGAGCCAGACTCAACACACATGCCAAAGAATGAGAGACAAAAGGCATATGTTGAAACAAAGGTTCAGACTGGATACAAGCAAAATACTTTGCCCCACAGGGACAATCATACATGGAGTGGGGTTGCACAGTATGGTCTCTGTTCTTGAAGGTTTTAAAGAGCAGACTGGATAATTCCCTCAGCAAACTGATCAGGGCTCACTGATGACCTTGGTTTGAGCAGAATGTTGGACAAGAGATCTCTGACATTCTTAACAACCTGAAGGGTTATGATCCTTTTTGTGCCTATCTGTACATGATACAAGGAGACGTTTCCAGAACTCAGATTTTTAAAGAAAGATTTAGAGTTTCCATTCTAAGACTAATCTGTTCATCTCAGCAAAGATGGAATAAAGTATCAGTATGATACATTAACCTCTATTACCTGTTAAACAGTACATTACATTTATACAAACTAATACCTTACTATAAGCCTCCCAAGGAAGTGGTATTTGCTTGAAATAAACATAAAGAAATGCACACTACTTGCAAGCGAGAGCTTTTACTAGGAGGTGTCTTTTGGCACTACTATGAGGCAATTAAAGACTTGCACATTTGTGCAAGAAATGTAATGGTAGTTGTTACATCTAGAGAAAGTAAAGATGCAGTCACATGCACTTCACAAGTTAAGAGGGAGACCTGAAAGCAGAATCAGAATTCGTTGGTTTTTAGATGCTCAAAAAACTTGCAGTTGCTGAGTCAAATGTTCATTATAAGTAGTTGCAAATGCTTTTAGTCTACTGGGAAGAATATTATATATATGATTTTTTTTTCCTGAGGACCCTTAAGAGCTGCATGAAAAGCAGCTCAAAACAGCACCATGTGATTGGTGAAGTGCTTTAGGCCTTTGCTGTCTGCAGGAGCTGAACATGCACCACTTAAGCTTTGTCATGGCATCCATGAGTAGGACTTCCATTTGAATTCTCAGTTTTGTCTGAACTTAGGTCTTATTTTGGCTAACAATACTATTTTTTGGAAGGAAGGTCTTGCACAGATGGTAAAAAACGTATGGATTGAACTGTTTGTTTCTGATGCTGGTAGGTAAATGCACTGTCACTTGAGTACATGACATTCCTTTCCTTTTTTGTTGCAGTACTTACTGTCTTCATTGACATGCTGCAGCAGAGGAAGGTGATTTGCACTTCAAGAGGAGTAAGTTAGAGCTGAGCAAAGACTGGTATGGAAAACTCTGGGATTAATAGGTGCTTCCACCTAAGCTAAAGAGGAAGAACTAGAAGCTCTGTAGATAGGGATGACAAAGAAAAGTGTAATTGTTCTTGGATAACAAGGTTACATGAAATACTGCTGGAGATGCATATTCTGAAGTATACTCATGCATGAAGGGATCATTTTCTTTTGAAATAGAAGGAAATGAAGAGGAAAGTTGGCAAACAGGTATACAAAACATGTCAGTTATAACCAATGTGAGGTTTGCAGTCTAGACAAGGATTTTCAAATAGTAGTACTTCTGCAATGCAGACATCCACTGACACCAACCCAGGCTTCCAGTGGGAGCTGCATGAGGAGTATCTTGGGATCGTTGTCTGGTTTGAATTATTAAGATGGAGTTTCCTTCAGAAAATTTTCCTCCTAGTTACAGGCTCAATAATGAAGATTCAGCCACATAGAAATTTGTTATTGCTTTGTTACTTAAAAGGCAGATGGAATATTTCCATTCTATTAATTGAATGGAGCTTTTGAACTTTGTTTTGTGCATTGATATTAGGAATATTTGTGATCATATCACCAATTTGCACCATTTCCAGGTTGCTGTTGTTCCCTTTACTTTCTGAGAGATCCTCTTCACAGATGCACTTGTCAGCTACAACCTTTGCAGAAGTTCCTCTTCCAAAGTCAGTTGTACAGTAACCCTCATAATTTTTGAGGAGTGAAATCCTTTTTATTTCTGAAATATACTCCAAGAGAGACCTGACCTTGCAAGTTTTTCTTGTGTATGTATTCTACCTTTGTGTTAAGGGTTCACAGGATCTGACCCTTGAAGATTTAGTGTAAGATTTATTTTATTTATTAATTTAATGAAGATTAAGTGTAAGACAAACTTAGAAGTCTTTCACCTGAGTACAGAGGTTAGATGTAGCTAAGAATTCATAATATGATCATAGGAGGCACGCTTACTTCTTTCTATCTTAAATGTATAAAACCAGAAACAAACAGCTCACAACCCAAATAATAGTTGTGTAACACTGACCATGGGTGTTCTGGTGAGGATGCAGACTAGATTTGACCACTGGAGTCCAGAATGCCAGGGGGTGCTGTGGAACATGGGAACATGTGGTGAGAAGCACAAGTTCCATAGGGACAGCACCAATCTAAGCAGTATTGTAAGAACTTCCCAGAAGGTACTTCACTGAACCTGAACAGTGAATGCCAAACACAACTGATCTTTATGTGAAGAATAATAAAGAAAATATTCCCACAATGTCATCAACCTCTTTACTGCTTTTGTCCACTAGCCAGACACAAAGGTGCTTGGGTGGATTCTCTGTCACCCAGTGTGCCCTTCAAGATCAGAAATGTTAGTTAACTTTGCCTTTTCCTGCTCCAGCAAGATGGTAAAATATGCCTGAGTTACTGGATGAACTGAAGAGAATGAGGGTTGCACAGACGAGATTCTGTTCTAGAATGACATAGGACTTTAATTATTTTCTCCAATTACCAAGAGTGAAATGGTATTGATAAATTGATGTTACTTCAAGAATCACTAATACAAGCTACCACAAAAAATGATTTCAGTGCAAGTGCACCCTTTTGGTTTAGTCAAATCTCAAATCTTAAAATAGGACTCAAAACTCATGCTCTGAAAGCTGAGATGCCTTTTCAACACATCAGGGGGAGTGTATGGAGATAGAATTGCCTGTTTCTTCTCATGAAGAAGCAAGATTGCTTCAGAGCTGCTATGCTCCTCAAATCCATACCAAATCTCTCTCCTGGGAATGAAATTCTGTTACCAAACATATACATATTCTTGTTTGTTTGTTGGTTTGTTTGTTTGTTTGGGGTTTTTTTGGGTTGCTTAGTTTTTTTTGTTTTGTTTTGTTCTTCTTCTAATTTGCAGCTTTTGGGTCTGGTAAGGATGGCCACTCTGACTGGTACCAGTTTTCAGGGTTGCTGTGTTATCTTGAGTTTCAAAAACTGCTACAGCTACTAATAGATGAATAATCATGAAGGCAGCTACACAAAGACCAGAAATATTCCTGCTCTTATAAAATGATCCAGCATAGGAAAGAAGCAGACTTGCATGGTTCCAAATTCCTACTATGCAGCATAGCACGTTGTTGCCATGCTACCAGATTGTTTGCCTTGATATTTAAATTTGCTCTTAGATTTGTATTTAAAAAGAATGAACTGTTAGCAGTACATTAAAATATAAAATAACGTGACAAGACATAAGCTGCATCATCAATTTGTTCATGTTTTTTTGGCCTCTATAGATTTCTTTTTCCTTTCCTAAAATAAACCCCACTATCACAACAAATATAAGATATGCATGAACCAATGAATTATGGAAAGGTTCTGTTTGGGAGTGCAATAATGGTTTATATCAAAGGAGGAATATTGATTATAGTTTCCATACTTTAAAAAAATATGCATTTGGCCTACCTTACAAAGTGCCTCTTGCCATCTTTTGTCCCCTCCAATTTAACACAACAAAGAGAAATCAGAGTATGATGATATTTTCTAGTTATTGATGCATTATGGAGGAGAAAGGAACATTATTTCTACATATGTGTGTATGTAGATATATATAAAATGTCCTTTAGGCACAAAATCTTGTGTTACTGAAAGACAACTCTTGATTAGAGACGCGGTAGCTTTAAAAAGAAACTTATCCCTGAGATATTCTTAGCCAGTCAATCAGTGTGGCTTTAATTATGTAGAAGTATTTGACATGTTATGGCCCAGGAGATAAGAGCTGTTGCATACTAGATGAATGAAAGGGAAGGAATTCTGTTGGTGACTAGAAATTCCACTCTCAGTTCTGCATTAAAGACATAAAATGAGCACTGGAAGGCAATGCTTCCTAGTAAATAGTGATTTGCATTATACTGCTGATTCCATGATTATGAAGGTTGTTTGTGGCAGAATTCTTCATTTCTGGTTGACTCCTAGCTTTACTGATGGAAGAGTTGCCATGAAAATACCTGTGTAGTATCAGGAATGTGCCTTCAAGTCAGTTGTGTTGGTGTGAATTTTATTGTTTGCTTGGTTTTTGGTTTGGTTGTTTGGCTTTTGTGTGTTGTTCTGCTATTTAGTTGAATTTTGCTGTTAAACTTCTTGCTGGGTTAAACTATAAAGATAAAAGTAATTACCTTTATAGATTAACATTTAAGTATTTTGCCTATGTAAATATAAATAGCATGTGGATAAGAAGTTCTCTGCTCTGGAGGCTATAGAAGGATGGCTTTGCAGTTATTACACAATTTTCACTGTTGTTTTCTCTATTAGTACTGTGCCACTGGGGGTGGGAGTGGAGGTGTGTTTGATTTTTAAACAAACTCCCCAAATTCTGCTTTATTCATTTTTCAGCTGTAGACTTACAGATTTTTATGCTCTTTGTGGCAGGAATATCTGCAGAATATTTAACATGATGAAATCTTGGTTAATGGACTTTTCCACAACACACGTAATTTAGGATTTATTTGCCCCCGTTGAAAGTTGTTATTATAACAAGTACAAGACAAAGAATTAAATGGAAAGGAATGTATAATGTGGCTGTTCAGGGTTTGCATCTGGTAAAGGGGCTGATATCTGGAGGCACAGAGGTTGGTCATCCCTTGCAGTGTTAGGCTATAGGATGGCACAGAGCTGGATCCTGCAGGGAAGCCCTCTAGGAGCCTGTCAGCCCATTGGGAGAGCCCAGGAGAGGTGCACACAGTGTTTAGGCAGTTATTTTACAGTGTGGGCAATTTCTGTTATTAAGGAACTGTGACATATCTTTAAGTGGCTGGAAGTTGACCTTTGATTTGAACTGGGTGCAGCTCAAGCATCTTTCAAGACTTCAGTTTTGCTATGAGCTGCAGCCTTCCCTGCAGTGCTGCTGTCCCCAGGAATGTCCCACAGCCCCAGCAGGACCATGGCTGCCTGTTGCCACAACACAGGAACTTCTGGCTACCAACAGGAGACTGCCATGGGGTAGTTGTTCAGTTAATTCAGTTATTGTTGATAATAACTAAGCTTAGAAAGGTGAAACAGAGTTGACCTAATGATAGAAAAAAAGAAATTGTTCCAACTGTTAGAGGAATTAATGTAAGTTTGACTTTCCTAGTGAGCACAAGAGTTATATAATTAGTGGTATCTAAGGATCATATTCTGCCAGCCATAACACTTTGTTGTATATCTATATATTTACACAACTGTAGGCATTTCCTACTTTAAACCAAATATCAAAATTTATATACCTGTTGCCTTGAGTATCAGTTGAAGACAAGCCAGTCTATTTATGAGCAAATAATGAAATTACAGAATAAATCAGCAAGACTCATACTGCCCTTTACATTCTTGCCTCAGTAACTACTTACTGCATGTTTAGTGATGAGAGATGCAGAGTTCTGAATTGGAAAATTCATAGATAACTATCAAATAGCCTGACCTGCAATGTACCAATGTGATGCCTCAGTGATTTTTCAACCACTTCATCTTTAAAGAAAAAATGCTAATTCTTGAAAGTGTTAGCCAAGTGCGTGGGTACATTTACTGAGAACCTAGGAAATGCATGCTCATTTAAATACATTATGCAAAACTTTATCTTGCAACAAATATAATGCTGGGGAAATTCTTGGTTTCACATTAGCTTTTTAATGTATCTATTTCTGAAGATATTAGAATATTAGAGAATATGATTTCATTAATATTCCCCTAGTCCTTTGCTAGTCAATGTGTCAGTAATGAAGCATGAGGCTTCTTGTGTGTAGGTGTCTTCCATACTGCTGCCCAGCTATAACCTTGGGATACAGCAACCCTACACTGCAGGATTAGTGCCTTTTCTGCAACATATCTGCTCCATAGAGTTCTTTTTCTGTGTAATGACATTATTTTACATGCTGCAGTTAAGTCAGCTGCAGTCAAAACCTAATTTCTTGTTTAGGCCAACTGTAGATCTAATTAACCCTGCTGACACGGCATCTTATTCAATCACAGAGCATACTTCCTCCAGAG